TGTGTGTGTGTGTGTGTGTGTGTGTGTGTGTGTGTGTGTGTGTGTGTGTGTGTGTGTGTGTGTGTGTGTGTGTGTGTGTGCGGTTTGAGACATGAGCATGTATGTTGGGTTGGTTTACGATGGAGCGAGCAAGTGGGCTTGAAAAGATATCCCTCCCAGCTGAACCCCATCTCCATGTGCAATACATGCACAATGCTTCAGACACCAAGGCATGCCTGAAACAAACTTTCACCCCCCACCCCTGCAGGGCTGCAAGGGCTCCACCTTTGTGCCATTCACGAGATTCTCGTCACCCTTTGTTATTCACTGCTACGAGAGCTTGAGTCTTAAGACCCAAGAAGACGCTCTACACATCTCCGCAACCCCATATCCCTATGCAGTGAAATAAGCTCAGCCCAATTCAACCACTAGTTTCCTAATGGCATCAGAGTATATCTTCAACCAGAGAGAGAGAATCTGCACCACAGCATGACGGGTGTTGTTTTTTGTGTAATACCGATAGCGCACTATCAATACCGATAGCGCACTATCTTTCATGGTTGCTGGGGATATAGCCTCTGAGGGATCCTACTGGTCGTCATCAACGATATATCGTCATCGAGAACTGCCTGGTGAACCGTAGGCAGAGAGGGTATGTCTCGATGACGAATCCCAAAGCCAGGCAGGCAAAGAGCATCCACCACCATTCTTACCCTCTAACTGGCAACCTCCTCCCCATCGACAGGACACCCTTCACTTGTGGATGGGAGCGAAGAGGCACGAAGGGTACCCGGAGCTGCTGCCGACTTGCCGGCAGGCCCACATGCTTAAGAACTCTTGTTGCCTTGACCAATGTCCACAATCGATGCAGTAAACGAATAGACACGATTTTCAAGTCATATCCATCCAGTGTGCCCTCATTGACTCCAATCATCACTGATCACCATATTTTCCGGTTGATATACCTGCTTGATGAATGAAGCAGACACAGAGCGAACGCAAATCATCGACGAGGGCTCCACAATATCCATAGGATGCCCACTAGCCTTGTATTCCCCTCCATGCATAATATGGGGGCCACAGTCCTCCTCATATACCCTTGTCACGATGTCGCCTGTTTCCTTGCAATATTGACTGCCAATCGGACTCACGATCGCGATATTGCATAAAAAGCAGTGTGGCGCCAACTCAACTATATTCCTCAAACAGGGCTGGGCTGCACATGCTGCTCTGGAACCAGGGGGATATGCGCTGCGGGGCGGGAAGGCAGTCACAAAAGGCGTTTGCGGAGAACGTACAAACAGACCAGCAAGAAGATAAGGAAGCCGACGGCAGCGATCACTCTGCGACATTGTGCAAAACAAGAACCGGAGAAATCGTTAGGAAGGAAAGTGTTAGCAAACGCATGGTCCGGTCCTTCGGGGCATCCGTTAAAATTGGGACGATACAGAAAATGAAGATTAGCATGGCCCCTGTGCAAGGATGACACGCATAAATCGCAAAATGGTCCAAATTTGAAAAAAGAAAAAAAGAAAAGAAAAGCAAATGCATGGTCAGCAAGTCACATAGGCATGAAAATCTGACCAGCAGTAGCTACGGCAGTCTCAGCCCCCCTCTGACACGGATGAATACAGCCCCGCGCGGCAGCCCGATTCAGCCACCTCGTTAACGGCCTAAGAATGTGGAGGTACTGGTGGTTTAACAGAGCCCTAAATTTTCAGCGTTTTTTGGAGCTTTTTCAGGATTGTTATAACAAACGTCCGACACCTTTTAAAGTTTAAATCAAATTTACCACCAGTCCATAGAGGGGGAGCCTAAAACCCCAAGGCAAAAATGTATTTTCAATTTTTCATGCAAAATTCACTCTTTCCAGTCTTTCAGGATTTTCAGGATTTTCAGGATTCTCAGGCCTTGCCAAAACAGTAATCTCCAACACCCCAGCAAACACCAAGCTTGGCACACACAGACCTTGACCAAATATGAAACAGGGCAAAAAAACAACACAAAAAAAGTTAAAACAACTGTAAAAAAAAATATCCCCACCTCCTCCCCCTCCTTCACCTCCTTCACCTCCTCCCCCTCCTCCCAATTCTCCACCTCCTCCCAACTCTCCCGCTCCAAAGACAAAGGACGAACGAAAGAATGTAGCAAACATACTCCACACACTACTGGCAACCACATCCCGAATGGCAGGTCGTTCCGTGCGCACAAGGCAATCAGGAAATTCACACTTTCCGCTCTACAACAAATACAGTGATCCTCCATTCCTATTCAGCCTCGGCGACGAGTCGGCAACCATCTCATTAGCGCCTTCAAACCGACTCCTTTTCCACGCATCGTTCACTCAACAGATGCTTACGATTCACCTAACGCTTCTTCACTCATTGGCTTCCGCAACCTTTACCCTGTCAATGTGTCATATATTTGCTGTGAAAGCTGAGGGCATACTCGCACTACGAGTTCCTTGATTTTTTTTTTTTGCTTTTTTTTTTTGTTTGTTTGTTTGTTTTTTGTTTTGTTTACAATCGCCGAGCTTGATTAAATCTACTATGGATGTAATGGAGTAAAGATACGAAGGACAGACTCACACTAGGATCTCCTGATTGCGATGAACCTCGCACGATTCAACTCAAAATACAACACGCAAATTGAAAGCATCCAGATAAAGCTCACACAAGCTTGAGCTGTGGCCATGAAGAGTGCCAATTTGAAGTTCCACTCAAAATACGATAATATACAATTGAAAAGTTTGGGACTGAGCGGTCTGCACCGCTGCGACACAACTCCGGGAAGTACCCGGTTCTTTCCCCTTCCGATCTGCTTCTCTCTCTCTCTCTCTCTCTCTCTCTCTCTCTCTCTCTCTCTCTCTCTCTCTCTCTCTCTCTCTCTCTCTCACTTGCTACTTGCACTGCTCATCCCTCGATGCTCCCCACTACTGTTCCTCCTCCCTCAATGTCCTAGATCTACCCTGAATGCCTCTGCAGTATGCCTTGGGCGGCTATGGCCGCCAATGGTCTTCCCCTGTCTCGCCTGGCTATGGTCGTCTTCCTCCTCCAGCTCTTTTCTGCTCCAGCCCTCTTCTTTGCCCAGGTCGCTAGTTCTCACAAGCTCCAGCAGCAGTTCCGCAAATTTGCGAAATGAACAACTGACTGTCCTCCGGCATTGTAGCCCAAAATATATAGTTGCAGTGGGCTGTGTGTGCCTGCTTCAATGGGTACCGGCCTCCTTCGGCCTCTGCCTTGCAAAGTTGCTATTTTGGAAAAGTTCCCGACTTTCTGGTGAGGCTGCTGCAAAATTGGACTTTTGGGGACTTTACGTGCTCCGAACAGGTACTGTACAGTACTGTAGACTACCGCCTGCAACGCCTGATCCTACAGGCCCTAAGATTCTAATCTACGCAGCCTTGGACTGGTACAATTCAGGACCCTGTAACCGGGACTGGGAAAGCTTGCAGCGTGAATCCATTCATGATAAGATTTTCTAGTAAATTTCTACTCATAATTGCGAACTGCAAGGAAGATGAGCAATAGCGAACTTCAGCAATCAAACAGCATCATACACATAAGACCAGATAGTCGTGACCTCGAACCAATAGCAGAATTGCATCACGAGTTTCACCAAATAAGAGTACACCAAAAGCTCATAATTGACAATGCTGGAATAGTCTCATCATCATCATCAACGAAGAACCAATGTTAATATCCTATCTTGCGCTCGGCGCCCAGACTACAGATGGCAGATCCTATCTAGCCTATACTACAATGCCGAAGATGACGGCAACAGCTCTCCCGAAGTACGAGCAGATAGCGGCCAATGCCCCACGGTTCCAGCACCAGGCATGTCTCTCGCATCACTCACAACCTCGTTCCCCAACACACAGATGCCACATGCACCCAAGGACCACCCTGCGCCACATCCAGCTCACAGCAGCGCAGCTCGGCTATGGCTGCCTGCTCCTTCCTGCTTGCCCGTGAGCGCGTGAGTGCCAGCCAGCTTCAGCGCAGCAGCGCTTGCGCAGCATGCAGCCAGCACCCGAATACCAAATGCGGAGGCAGGCCCTTTGCTATATGGAAGTGGCCTGCCTGCCTTCTGTCCCAGGCTGCGCTGGGCCTTTCCCAAGAAGCTTCCGGTAGGCCTCGGTAGGCTGAGGCCCAGTCCAAACGAATCAGGCCCAGGGCCTGTGGTGGTTACTTGTGCCCAACTGTCCTCGGCCTGTGTTTGGCCCATATCCCGTATCCAGCCCAGGGCCTGCCTTCCATACATGTAAACAAGCGGCCTGGGCCTGGGTGCTCTTCAACCAACTGGCGCTGCGCAACTGCCTGAATTTTCCACAGTTGCGTGGTGACCGAGATAGGGGCCCTCAGGCCCTCGTCGAGCCTGCCTTCACTTAGGGCGGCCGACGAGCTGCATAACAGGGCCAAAAGGGGCTCATCGGGGCCTTGGCCTCGCAGAACCAGATTCGTCTTCGGAGGTCCTACCGTCTTCACCCCAGTAGAATGCCCCAGTCATTATCGCCGTATCTAGACCGACAGTTACACTAAATATGGCTATAATGCCCCCGCGTCTGTGTTACCCAGGCTGCCCAAGTCACCTTGGTTGCAAGGGCGGCCCGGTTGGGCACGGGCCAGGGAAGGCCCCTGTACTTAAACGCACACACACACACACACACACGTGCGCGCACACACACACACACACACACGTGCGCGCACACACACAGAAATCCGTAAAAAAGTATGTTGTACAGAAAAATAAACTGAACAACTGTTGCCACAAGGTCACATCAAAATTCTTTGCCAAATTAAAAATAAGAATTTATTTTTTTTAATTAGAACTATTTTATTCTATTTAAATTATTTTATTATTTTTAAAATTTCTTATTCATTTTTCCCAGGGCCGGGCAAGTGGTCCCAGGCCCCTCTGGTAACATAGCCAGGCGTTCCATACAGGTAAAGACCATAGTTGCGGCGCACCAGTGCGCAGTGCGGTGCAGGGCGGTGCGCACTGCGCTGTGCGCTGGAATGACAGCACACGCACTGTGCGCCGTGCGCAGTGCGGTCCGCTGTGCGCGGTGCACGCGCTGAGGGAGGTGCGCCCTGTGCGCCATACAAATTAAAAAAAAAAAAA